GAAGGCAAGAAAAAGGGAAAAAAGGAGGACGAAGACGACGATGGAGCAGGAAAACATGGAGGAGTGGAAGAGAGCAAAGGGTTTGAGCCAGATGACCTTCCCCACAACAAGAAACGTAGGGCTAGGGAAGAACTGCCCAGAGATTCTTCTTGTCGAAATGAGGATCAGAATGATGGTAGCGAAAACAAGGAGGACACTGGTGAAAGTACTCCTAAACGAACTCGAGTACTAGGTAATAGCCTTGGTAGACGCGTGCATTTTTCGTCTGTTGCTGCTGTTTCTGTTTTTAATCCGAAGGATAGTTTAGCCTCCCCCATGCTGCCCCCTCACGGGGTCCCAGTTCATGGTAGATAGAAGTGTTTTGTGTTTTCAACCGCACTAAGACTGACGTCTTTTCATTGGTCAGCCGGTTAGCGCGGTCGATGCTAATAATAAAACACAACACACACGCAAATCGGTCCAAACGTCGAAACCTGAGGGACACCTGCGGAAAAACTTGTTTGGTGACACTGCTGTGCTGTACTTGTGCAAGGCCAGTAGTTGAACTTCGCGCATGCGGTCGTTCTCTCTCCCGCTCCCTGTGCAATGCAACTGCAATGCAACTGAACTCCACTGCACATTGTAAGTGATCACCACTGTTGACCTGCTGCTGCACCCGTGAAGGGCTTTGTGCCAAGAACACCATCACGACCCTGCACATTGTCACCTCGGGTCAACTAGACCACAACAAACCACGAGGAACCCGACTCACCGGGGCACCACTGGCTGGAGAAAAACAGACAGAGCAGAGGCGCGTTTAGTGACGGTGACGTAGCGGCGCCCGCCTTGGCCAAGAACAGGGGAACTCCTTCCAAAACACCCATCTCTTTGTACGCCCTGCACACGAATGATCGCGGCCTTTGGGTGCCTTGGCCGTGCACAGTGGGGGTGACGCAAACTCGCTGGGGGGGTGAAGCTAATTTGTTCGTACATGGCCCGATGTACAACCTGCTGCCAACTGTCTGGGCCAGAGCTGGACAGCGGACAGCAGGAGCGAGCCTGGGTGTGATCATAGTCTGCAAGACCAGTTGGACGAGGCCATCATGTGAGAGGATCCGTTGGACCTTGGGATGCTGTATGCATTGGTATGTGGAGTCTCTGAATTTGCCATTAGATCAAGCCCAGCGAGTCCGCAAATTCTTGCGTGCCGACTCGCGTCATGATCTCGCCTGCCCTCAGTGTTGTATCCATCCATCTCCTCCGTCCGACGAGGGGATACCGCGAGAGCTCTTTGGGCATGTATCGTTGCGGGAAAGCCAAGGGCTGTCCCAACTTCGCCGTCTTGATGCAAGGGGCGAAAACGTTGACTTTCAAGGAACGACAGGAACAGCCATGGAGCTGTGCTTCCCCCGGCCCTGTAAAATTCAAACTTGCAAATTCGCGCTGCAATAAACCGCGGAGAGAGGTGCCCTCAGCTGGGATTGCAGAAACAGCGTGCTGGATACGCCTTAAAGCGTCCGGAGCTTTTGGCTATCACTGTGGCAGGATCCCCGTTGTAGAGCCCTTACTGACAATTGGCTAGTTTGTGGTTGTGTCGTCCCATTGAATCTGGCGGAGGACAACTTACAACAGACAGCAGTTTTTTGTTGAAGGCTCTGTGTATGGCATCCAACCTGCTCATGCTCGCACGCTGCCGCCGCTTGGCAGGCTTTTGATATTTCGCGCAGCATCGATGAAAATAATGCGAAGGAGTGAACAAACACTTTTGCCGTACGTTAAGGCTCTTGGCTTGATCTCCATAAGGGAAAAATAATTGGAAACCGCAGTAGCCTCTGCCCTCTCTCGCGAGAAAATCTGGTGTACCATGCATACGGAAGATATCACCCCCTTCCCTTGACCATGTTGAACACCGCCCCCATGCCAGTTTTTGTGTCAACCAATACACCATATCCATAGGGGAAGTTGGGGTAGGGTAAAAATGTCCCTGCATTTAGTTGACACCCACTCTCTTTTCCAACGTTTGTCTCATCTCCGTGGCGACAATGGCAAGTGTAGGCCAGCCAACACCGTGATCCTGATGATTCCTACCGGCAGATCGATGGTCAATATCAGAGCCATGGGAAGGACCGTCGTCGGTTCACGCGCCCGAATGTTGTGTGCCGCTGTTTTGCGATATGGCGCTTGCTATCGGCAACCCCCCACCCGCTCGATCCCAGCGTTCCATATTTATCATCTCGTAACAGCACTGGTTGGGTATTCGGGTAGCCACGCCACACCTGCGTATCCCCGCGTACATTAATCCTCTTGCCCATCCTCTGGACGTGCTTCCCTGCCTGACGTATTTGCCTCTTAAGGTCTGAGCCAGATGTCCCGGAGCCTGAGAGCCTGAGCATCATGGTGGCAACGGATAGCCACCTCGGGCGAGTATGAAGCGATTGTTGGAAGAACGGCCTGCACACTTTTTGCGCCAGGCACTTGCACTGCTGCCGTTGTCGGCTTGCTGTATGTCCGTGGCCTTGCACGCTGACATCGTCCTTGTTTGCCAGTGCTTCCCCTGTGTCATTGCAAGCACTCATGAAGCGAGACGTGTCGTACAGTGCGACCTTTGCATATGCATCAAAGTAGTCGTCTTCCGATACGTTTCCTTTTTGGTGTTTTGTCTGTGCATTATTGCGCTATTTCCGGTGGTGTTCACACATTGGGTGCCTTTTTTGGCTTTCACGTCAAAATGATTATGCCGTTTCGTCTCCCAACTGTCCGTTGTTGCGCTTTTCGTTACTCTCGTATTTTGGGTGCAACAGGTACATGGAGAGAGACCCCGTGAGGGGGAAAGATTCCTTCGCAGCGTTCGAAGAGATGCTTCTCCTTGCCAAGGAAAGAAAGGTGAAGCGCGATTGACGGTGGACTCACTATTGCATCTTTCCCGCGAAGCTTTGCTGTGTTGTCCTGGTGCTTTTTTCATGGCTTCGGGTGGTTCTCTCCGCTGATCACATCCAGTGTTGACGAGAGCAGGGCTCGACGGTACGGCAATCGCAAGATGTCTTCACGATCTGATGGCCTTGACGCACTCTGCTCCGAACACACATTTCCTATGAAAAATGCTGATTAGCCATGCCTAGAGGAAGGACACTGCGTAACGCCGGTTGTATCGAACAGCACGGCTGCCTCACGACCACGCTAGCTCATTGTTTTTATGACCGACCCTCTCAGACCAAAGAAGTAGTATGCGGTAGAGGCCGCCTGTCCCTCTTTGCCACAGAGAAGAGGCGCTTTCGGAGGACAAGGTAGTTCCCCGTGATCACCGAACTTTGCGTTGTGTTCCGAACCCAGAAGGGTTTGGCGAAGTTCTCGGAAGGCGTGTATATTCGGTGAGCTCTCTTGATGGTTCTTTCTTCAATTGTCATCCTCCATTCCAAAGCTTTCGGCCGCCACCACCACGACCACCCCTACCACCCCCAAGAACAACAGACAACAACATCAACAACATAAACTGTAACAACAAAGAAAACGACGACGACGACGACAACAACAACAACAACAACAACAACCTCAGGTGGACTTCGTGCTGCTAGGAGGGGACCTCTTCCACGAGAACAAGCCCTCGCGGCGCACTCTGTACCAAACCATGGACATCTTGCGGCGGCACTGCATGGGAGATGAGCCCGTGAGCTTCCAGATAATCAGCGAGCAGGCGCACAACTTCAAGGACAGGTGAGGAATAGTTGCTTGGCGCTACACGTGGAACGCCGCCGTTGTGCGTGTGTCGCGTTATTCTGCGTTTTGCATGTTCTATTTGTTGATCGCTGTTGTTCCCCCTTATGCGGTGTTGGGAATGAACGACCCCGTTAGTTTTGTGTGTGTCTTTTCCAGGTATTCTCGACTTTTGATTTTTGATGCCTGCCATAAAGAGGGGAGAGAGTGCTGCACTCTTCTCGCATTGTATTGTAATCGAAGCCAAAGTACCGCAGGAGGGGTGGGTAGGGGGCGTCAGGGAGAGGAACCCTGTGTGACCATGGGTTGGTGTAAACGGCACAAGTACTGCGAGCGCATATTTGAAGCGATTGCAACAAAGGTTTGGCCGGTGGGTGATGCCCTTGTGCATTTTGTCGTGATCTTTGATGGAGTTGATGGATTGTCGCCCACTCGTTACTGTTGCTCTTGGTTCTGCAGTACTTGCCGTTCACGTACGCGAGGTTGTTTGAGAAACTCGCCGCGATTTTGATTCCATTTTTTCGTGGGACACTCGTGATACGTGAGATCTATGGCAACCTCTCATCGTCGGGGTGCGATAAGACGATTCGTTTTTTGCGTGTGTGTTTGCGCATTTTTTTTTTCCCTTGCTTCGTTATCACTTGTAGAAAATGATAATCCTTCACGTGTTATTTTTTTTTTTCACGTGTCGTGTGACAGGTTCGGGCACGTGAATTACGAAGACCCGTACTTTTCGGTGGGGCTCCCTATCTTCAGCATCCACGGAAATCATGACGACCCCACCCGTGAGGGGGGAGTGGAGGCTCTCGCGGCCCTCGACCTGCTGCACGTGGCCAACTTGGTCAACTACTTCGGGAAGAGCAACAAGGTCAGTAGAGGCGCCCTTGTCGGTGTTCGTCGTCTTGCAGCTGCCGGCGATGGTGTTGACGTGCTGCAGCTGCTGCTGCTGCTGCTGCTTTGTTGTTGTTTCTTTGCTGCTGCTGCTGTACCCCCTGTAGTTGTCGTAGCTGCTGTACTTGCTGTTGCTGCTGTAGCTGCGTGGTGTTGCTGTTGAAGTGAGTTGCTGTGCTTTTGATGGTGTTGCCGTCTGGCTGAAGCTGCTGCAGCTGGTGTTGTTGCTGTTGCGGAGCTGGGGCTACAGCTCGGGGAAAAAAAGGTGGTCCGATATTCAGGTGTACGGGAACGCATAACAATCTACATCTTGATTTATTCCAAGAAACTATACAGAGCAATCCATCCAAATTCTGGTTGCGTGACCCCCCCCCCCCCCC